AAAATTAAAAGGGATCTATGCTAGTTTGAACTAAAAGAAGCAAGAACTGGTGTTCAGTGAAAGAATAGGCAGATATTGAAAAGGCACTGCATATCTAAAGCTAAGATTGCAAATCACTAAGCATGGGACTTTTGGACTCTTTTCACTACTGCTCCCAGAATTCACCAGGAATTCCCAAGCCAGAATTCTGAGACTTGTAGCCAAAACCAAAAACAAGTTTTCAGAGGAGTTTCAGAACACACTTCTGTGCCTTGTCAAATTTCTCTTTGGAGTGACTGATGGCCATTTGCCTGAAGAAGGAGGAAATAATTGGAAGTGGCTCAGTTCAATGAGAGCTGCAAGGGATTAGGGAACTGTTAGTTTTTTCTGTTCATTAGCATCTGCACAGAGTGCATGCAAAGAAAAAGGGTTAGCAATAGCCTAATCCCTTGCAGCTATAGAGGTTGATGCCAAGTAAGTATCTCTGGAGATGAGCACGACTATATAAATCAGGAAGAGAACTAAAGCTGCATAAAATTCTCATAGACCTGTGTAGCTCATTATTAGTATCACCGACTGAAGACAGATGAGATAAGGAGCTTACTGAGATAGAGTATAGTCCATCAGGATATAGGATTGCAGAGGTCTTCACAAAGCCTTTTCCCAGAAACCATTTCCAGTTGTGCAAGAAGAGATGAACCCTGCAGACTTATACAAGCATTGCTGAAAAAGGGTATTAGAATCAGTGCACCGATTTTGTATTTAAAGCAACCAGTGGAGGGGCAGGAAGTAGATAAGTAGGTGGGGTTGGGCATCATGGCCTTCTCTACAAGTGAACACTTGTAGATTGTTACCCTTAGGTCACTTCCTCCTAGATAACAAAGAAACTAATATATTAGGTTTCTTTGTTTTCGGTGGTGGACCATGTAGGTGCCTGCTTCTTGGCCTTTGGGATACTTGCACATAGAAGTCAGCTCTAGGGGCTTCTATGCCCCTAGATAGGTTTTATCATGCAAGGATTTCTTGGAAGAACAAAGAGTTTCCCTTTTCTCTTCTCCATAAGATTCTGAGTGATCACTCCCAAGTCATAGCCATGAACTGCTTACTGTAACGATTAAAGATTCTTTAAAAATATAAATTTTAATATACAGTATCTTATGGTTGAAAATAATGGTGGACAATCAAAATTCCTGACCAGCAAGGTGCCACAAAGTGCACCGAGGAGGATAAGTACATGAAGAGGTTGTTCCAAGAGAACAATCGATCATGGTTGGTGCCATGCTCCTAAAACTTATCTAATTGGCTGAAATACTGGGAAGTTCTTATCTTATCTCAGAAAATATGATCTGAGAATATCAGGTGAAATTAACCAAAGTTCAGTCTGGCAGTCTGCCTGCTAAGCACTCCTAGGGACAACATTCACCCAGTAAACTTAGCATAGCAACTTGCCATTACCTTCACAATCAATTAATGGAGTAATTTGACCCTATGCTTGAGGTACAGAAGTGATATGGGAACAGAGGAAGTTGATTACAATATGAATTTGCTGTGATTCCAGATGAGGATTTTTAATGTAATTGCCCTGACTCATTCACGAAATTTTACAGGGGATCCAGACAACATGTATTTCACTGGCAACCCTCATATATTTCCCCACCACTTCTTCAGTGTTTTGTTCCTTTCCACAAAATCTGAGTTTGGACTAGATACTTTTTTGAACTACAGTTCCAAGGCTCTTAAAGAGATTTAGATGTCTGGGAGGTGTAGTTCAAAATCTAATTTTACTAAGCTTTGCACAAAGTAATCATCAGGGAGGAAAAGAGAGAGCAGCTGGATACTGGATTTTGCTTTTTGACTGGTAAATCCTCTGCTCT